CTCAACCTGTGCCCTTCAAAGCCTCCAACATTCTCTTCCTTATTATCACTGTTATATTTATATATCTATTTTCAGTAATGAAACATCCCTGAGTGGCATACAGTGCAACATCTGCGTCAAGCAGTGATTGTCATTTACAAAGTGTGAAACTTAAAAAGGAAAGAAGAGGACTGGGTCTCCACACACTGTTCCTAATGGATGTCAGAGACAGGAGTTAGTTTATAGACTGGAGGCAGAAAGCACTGGTACAGGTTGGTGGGTGTGAATACACTAGTTTGTAATTGCCCAGGAAAAGCAAGCTGTTCTGTTTCAGGTTTCCATTTCTTATGGGCTTAGACATAACTCATCTGGACAAAAAACTCTTTCATGTTTCAGTTTGATCTTACTGCCCAGTGCTATTACTGGAACATCCAACAGATGTTCTGGAAATTGGAACCAGCTTCCAGGCTGGACCTTGGGTTTTCTGGAAGCAGCACAATCAATGCAGAGTCAGGAGGATAGGGTCGCCTGAACATCTTTCAAAGGGGCTTTGTAGCACAGCTTTAGACCGCAAAAAAGACAACAGGGAAAGGTGCCATCAGCTGCACATCTCTAACTGTCCTGCCTGACCAATTTGTGAGACTGCTGCAGCCTTGGAGCAGCTCTTACAGCCTGGTGGTGAGAGGCTGAGATGCCAGTACACAAGAGCAGCTTTGCAGCCTCTTGTGAAGAATTTGTTATGTCAGAAATCCCTGCAAACAGTCTCAGAGGGAAACATACATCTGTGCAAGCTGCCACCATGAAAACAAAGAAAATCACATAATAAAGCTCATCTTCATGGGTGGGTCTGGTAGCTGCTTCACCTGGAGCACCATGACTTTGGCACAGGTATTGAGATAGCCTTGGTGCCCGCAGTGCAACAGGAGGAATAAAATGTGAAACGGAGCTGAAATGAACAATGGGAAGCATGAAGTAAGAGCATTAAAATGCAAGTATGAGTATAACACCTGACTTGTGCTCTGCAAAGCTCAAAGGAGACCTCTTAACCCTAAGGGCCTCCAACTTTATGAGGGGTTTAGCACCTTCTGTGTGGTGCTGAGATGTCTTTGTTTTTAGTGGCTCTAGTTAGAGCTAAGGGAGCCTGACAACTTGCAGAATCAGTTCCTAAATGCTGCGTATCACAAACCAATCAAAACCCACACATTTCTTTTGGAAACAAGTTTGCTCAACTAAAGTGTCTTCCATTACCCTGTTTTTTTCTAGTAATCGCTATATCAGTCTTTCCATTAGAAGGAAATATGACTCTTGGAATTAATTCTTTATACAAAGAGCTGGCAAGAGTGACGTTTATACCAAAATTAAGTCCCTGTGGTAGTGTAATGAACAGCCTACATCTGCTTCCTCAATGCCAAGGATAATTTAGATCAATGTGATTGAATTATCTGAGAGCAATGCTAAAAGTAGAGGATTGAATACATGTTTTACATATACTTTTGTTAAAGATCCTGGGCTAATCAATCATTAAAAAATGTGCCCCATTTGAAAAACTTGTCACTAAAAAAATCAACAAACAAAACCAATCACTACAGAGAGCAGATGTGACAAATCCGAGATTTAGAGATTTCATTGAAGGGCTTCAGATAATACTGAGGACTAATGAAACCCAAGAAGTAAAGTACAACACTAATATTTTCTGAAATGCATTTTTTTAGTAGATTATGCAGTTATTTACTCAAATTCATGCTATTTTATTATGTAAAGTCTACGAATAACTGGAATATATGAAATTCAATATCAAGAATTTGAAATCTTGAGTATAAATTACCATGTATCAAAAACAGCAACAAAAATCTAGCCTGTATCATGTGATTGTTATTTGTTGTTCTATATTCAGTCAGTGATAGGCAAAAGAGGTACTATACCTATGTGGCCAATCCCAAATCACAGAAAAATAAATAAAATTTATCAGCCTTAGTTACCACAGATAAATAATGTATGAGAAAGAATTTTAATTTTTCCAAATAAACTACAAGTTTATTTGCTCAAATTCTGTAAAAAATAGTAACAAAAATAGAGCAAGCTGTTGATAATTAACTTTATTTGAAGATGAAAAAAAAAATCTATTGGCAATGATTGTAATTGTTTGAACAGGCTATTGCCTATCAATGGCAATGAAGATTTTGTATACCAGCATCTTAATATTTTTTGGAAAAAAGGCAAGAATCCATTATTGTTCCAGGACTGGACACTGCTACCTGTGTGGTGCCTGGCAACTAATTTAACTTCTTTTCCTTGAATTCTGCATCTTTAAAAAGTGGCAGTAATCCTTACTGATTGTAAAGGTCATGAGGTTGCAGTGATTTAAGAATAGTGCTTTAAGGATTGAAAGCCCTGTGGATGATTAAATAATGTATTTCTCACTGGTGATTTCCATTTGGTTATCTTGCCTAAGACATAAGCAAAAATCCCAAGGACTGATTAGCTTATTTGAAAAGAACAAAACTTTTTCAAGATGTAACACATAATTGTGAAGTACTATTTATAAAAATGACTAACCTCTTTATTTATAAGCACTAAGAAGGCTAATATTTATCACATTCTATATTCCTGTGGGTTGTCTAAATATCTTAGTTTTGACATACTGAAAACAAGTTTATGAAGGATTTCAAACAAACACGTTTGTGTGTTCTTGTGTTGGAAAAGACAAGGAAAATATTAATATCTTGAAGTTAAAACCAAACACTTCTAAGATTCAGTCTGACTTGATTTTTTTTTCCTAAAGAAATTTACACAAGCAATACATAAATGCAGTGAAGTTTTTTTGATATGAGAGAGTTAGATTTGGGGGTCCTATTCATGGATTTGCCATGTAAAAGAGACTGCAAACAGATAAATTACCCTATAAAGGAATGCCAGGTTTAGGGTTTAAGTAGTATAAAGAAGCATCAATAATAATGCTTTATTATGTCAATGACGTTTTAAAGTAATCAGCAAAGATCAGAAAATGTGCTCTGAATTTGGAGGAAAAAAGTGTTTTACATATTGCTGTTCTGTAAGACTAAGTAATTTTGAAGAGTATGTTACGTTTGCAGCACAATTACCAGCACAAATAACTTTGCTGTGAATTTTATTTTTTAATCTTTTTAAAGTTGTAAGGGACCTACAGAGAAACATTTATTAGCTGAGAGTTTGTAACCAGCCTTGTATCTGGTCTGACTTTGCTAAAACAGACCAAATACCTGTTGATGTTGTCTAGACTGGATTCTGTCTTGAAACATGAATGTAAACTTGCAAACTGGCTGATGGAGGGAAACGGAAAACTCCACAAAGTGGTTGGAATAGCCTGTGAATTATTTGGCCATGCAGAAAAAGGAACAGATCGGGAACAGGGCTGTGTGAGTCTGCTGGAAAAGCTGGAGGCATTAAGTTATCACTGTGACAAACCAATTCTCTGCACATAGCCTGGTGCCCACCTGAGTCCCCATGGGCTCCCTGTGACACCACTGTGCTGTGCAGCTGGTGGGTCGTCTGCCCTCCAGCCAGCGTGTGCCTCCTCGCCTTGCCTCAGACTGCACTGACTTCTGTGTGATTTGAAATAAAGAAATCTGCTTGTCACCCTGCCTTCACTTAATTTTTAATCTGCTACCTGCTGCTTCTTATTTCTGCTCCACTCTCCACTAGTGTCCCCGGAGAAGACTTCTCTGCAAAAGCTCTCAGCAGGTAGAAATGGTGGTAAGGATACAGCCATAGCAGAAACTGAATCCCTCTTCCATAGCTAAAAAGTCTGTGTTTTGTATCTCTAGCAGTATCCAAATACAAAAATCATAACTGCTAATTAACCTTAATTAATCCACAAGATTAAGTCCATGGCAGTCTTCCACTACCCTCTGTGTTTGCCTTTGGTTTTGCAAGCAACTGCACATGAAGTGAATTCAGAGACAGACAAAAAGAAAGACCTAATCCTTTGCTCCCCTCCTGAAGTGCATCTAAAATCAGCCCTATATATGTATATATATACAGTTATATACACACAGTTATACGCATACATATACGCATGTGTATGTGACATACATATAAGTATGTGTTTAACGGAAACCATTAGTCCCATCTACATGGTGGTTGTGTCAGAAACAGTGATACTTATATTTGCGTTTGTAACCATGGACATTGCTCGCTTTGACTTTCCTCCTCCTTCCCTTCCTTCCTCCCTCTGCCACTACTCTTCAGAGCTACATTTTAGGCTTCTTACAGTTTTCACTGAGTTCACGACATTGCTTTCCATTGAGTTCAGCAAAAAACAAGCCTCACAACTAATTTTCAAAGCAGTATATATAAAACAAAATCATGTATGGAATCAGAAAAATATGCATGTGGAATAGTCTATATTATAACTCCATGTTTCAGATACTTTACTGACATCAGGACCTTACAATGTTCAATTTTATATATGCTTTATCTCTGTAATAGGAAGAAAATTCCAAAAAAACTTTTCCTCTCTTCACTAAAATCTTCCAGACAAGGCTTTTGCACCACTGATACGATCCTGATGTTTCATTTACAAGCTGCGCACATGCACTACATTACACATATCTCAGAAGTGATCCTGTCATTATACATCAGCAGCTGATAAATTACTTCTGACTGGCAAAGCAAATCTTCATTGCCCAAGGTAAATCTAATACATTACTTGGAGAGTAAGAAATACATGAAGCCGGTCTGAGCATCCTTTAAAAGTAGGCATGGGATTTTTAAGCTACAGCATGTATGCATTTAATACCTACATATATATATATATTATATATATATAAAATTATATAGCACATATATATATATGTATTCCATACATGCACTGTAATTTTCAAGACAGCTACAAATTTCCACATGCATTAAACTATCTAAAAACATAGAAATAGGCAAGTCTAATAAGTGGAATTTTCTTAAATTATATTTGAACAATAAACAGCAAGAGTAATACTGCGAAGTACTGCTCTATTCTCATGTATCTACAATAAAATTCTAGGAACAGTTGTCTCCCAAAACATCCTCCAAAAATAATAAAAAAAAAAAAGGTAACACCCATATTTGTATAATCATTGTCAGTTCAAAAATAAAAAAGAAAGGTAAACAAAGAAAAGAGAAAAAAGACATCCCCACTTAGAGTTGCATATTTACATTCTTCAAACTGTAGCGGTGAAAAATAATTCTATTAAGTGCAGGACATTCCTAGTGTTGCAGTAGTGACATTTTTAATAAGTTCTTCATGAAAACATTTCTTTTTTTTCTTAATAGTGATGCATTCCATGACTACGTGAAAATTCTATTATCCCCTTCACTTGCAGCCAGTGGTTGAATCTGGATTGAAAAGCTCCTTGTATAACGGAGGAAACAGTGTGTTCACTATATCTGGATGAGATTGCTTAAATACCTGTAGTTTCTCTCCGTGCAAGTTGCAAAGTGCAGTAATGGTTGGTATCTTGGCTATTAACTGTGAGACATTAAAATAAAAAGTAAGAGGGAGGAAGAAAGTTTAGTATAAATTGCAGTTTCCAAAAAAGAACTATGTTAACATCTTGTGGGTAACTAAATGCAATATTCTGAACTTCATGAAAATTATGAAAAGGACCAGACATTGTTCTTACCATAAGAGGCTAAAAACAATTGTCCTGGAAATTTTAGCGAAGTGTCAAAAATGCATTAAGAAAGAACTGCCTTCAGTGGTATGTCTTCAATGCAGGGTCATTCTTGCGAGGGTACCCATTAAAAAGGTTAGCGCACTGAACAAAAAATGGTAAAAGGAAACAGGGACAAGACTAAGACTAGCTTTACTTCTCCTGCACACTGCAAGCACTTTTAACTTACATTAATGTGCCAGTACACGGAGAAATTGCTAAAAAATTTAAAATAGTCATGATCAAGGAATGCTTGGCTATTTGTTTTAACAATTTACCTTTGTCAAAGTCTCATCATCGAGGTGGTTCTTCTGGATCACATGTTGAAGTGCAAAGTAAATCTTTTCCTGAAGCTTCTGGACCTTCCTTGGCTCTATTAACCAGGCTCGATCTGTGAAAAAGGCAGGCAAGAGCTCAAGTCAAGAATGCACAGATGTGGGGCATGCTCTTGGATGAACACAGTGTCCCATGCTGGCAAGCATTCACAGCAATCATAATTCCCATGAGCATGGACTGCATGATAATTAAGACATGGCTTCAGACACAAAGCATCTTAATCCATTAAAAGGTCACCTGAGAGTTTAATTAACAAAGTATAGAGAAATGCAATGTTAGCTCTGCATCTCTTTGTTTAAACCAGGATGTTAAAGATGGGAGTAGAAATGAAACAAGGCCCAACATTTTATTATTCTCTATTGGTAAAATCAGCATTTTAACTTCATACTGGTTAGGTGCAAAACATGTCATGTTATCTCAGTATCTTAATACATAAATAATAAATATATTGATCAAAACAGTTCTTTGAAAATAATAGAATATAATTATTTAAAAATTAAAATAAAGTATATCTCATCATTTACTAGGCTAACATTTTGAGACCAAATATTACATTCTGAATAAAAAGAAATGGCTTCCTTCAAAAGACTTTCTTTAATAATTCAAAAGAATTATGAGTTGTTGCAATGTCTTGAAGTGCAAATATCTCATTATTTAAGTATGTTCTCTTTTTAAACAACACAAAATAAAAGATTATCTGGGAGAATACCAGTTACAGACACAATTGTTTGGAAACCTATATGGCTTCTACTGAACTCAAACCTCAAGTCTCTGCAGTCTTCCTTAAGAACTATATTCTCACAAGTCATAGCTTCTGGAGACAAACACACATGAAGAGAAGTAGCAGACCCCAGACAATCTCCAAACCATTAATACAGTGTATTTACAGAACCATTGAACTTTCTGTTTTCCCATGCTGCGAACTTGCTTCTTCCTCTCTCTATCCCTCAAACCAGACCAATTCTTGGGTATAGCTTTTAGCTTTCAAACAGCAAATAAGAAAATCTATTTTAACAAAGGGCATGAATCTACATGTACAAATTGAAAACTAAAGGAAAATGCCTTTCACTTTCAGAACTCTTTCACCCATTCTCAGTCACTGAAATAATGCATAGAAATAATATGCCAACCATTTCAATGAGTGCACATGTCACAGAGGCTGGTGCTGAATAGTATTTCATCATGGGAGGAGCATGATTCTGTCATTTGCCTGGCTGTCTGTGGAGAGGGGTGTATGAAAAGTGTCCACCATGAAGTACTGTGATAAGAAAGAAAACCAAGCCTCTAGCTACCTAACAGACGATCAGGAAAAGAAAGTAATTTCTTTGCAAAGCTTAGAGAATCATGCTCTCAGAAGGTAAGCCAATGGATCCGGTGCCACCGGTGACCATAGAAACAGAATTAGCTGAGACAGCACGCAGTCACTACACAAATAAGCACACAGTAATATTTAGACCTCACAGGTTAGGTGCCAAATGTTATGCTACAGCAAAAAAATTCTGTTCAATAGTGTTCAACCAAGGCTTACTGTAGCAGACTGGAGGCAAAATGATCTATCATAAATACTTGAAGATTTATCTTTCTGTCACAAGAATAAGCTTAAAAATATTCTAAGGCTATTGGAGGGCAGGTTTAATCACTTATCTGTCATGGAGAATGCTGTATATAATACAAGAGTTCTTAAATTTCTGACAACAGCTAGGTGAAACTTTTACAATGGATATTAACTTTCTCTTCCAAAACGTGGTTTCTACTACCTGGAAACCATCTGCAAACTTGGCTGGAATGCACTAGGTACCTCTAGTTATATTCACAAAAGTGCAGAAAAGACAACAAATCAGTGTCTACCCATAGAGGATACAAGAAGCAGTGGTTCAACTGTAAGTTTTTGTTTGGGTTTTCAACTTGTGTATCTTTGAAGACTGCACAGGCCACTAGGCTGGAGACTAATGTAGGCAAGAAGATAAGGGACAGCCTTAGCAACTGTATTAGTGGATGTTCTTAGGCCTCCTTACTCCTGATGGGACCACTGCTCCCTGTAAACTCCCTAAACACTGAGATCAAGGGCAGAAGAATCACTTTTCAGGATGGTGGCTTCTGTAGAAAGGAAACTTGAATATGAGTACTTTCCTCAGGGAACATCCATGTACCTATATGAGTGGATGGAAGGACTGGTGCAGCTACTTCTGTGAAGCAGTGCCTAATTTTTATAGTGGGTGTCATTAGTGATGAGAATGAACATGTTGACACCATCTGTGCTAGTCTAATTCTGCCTAACATAAACTCCACCATAGATGTGCAAAAGGGCAAAGTGACCTAGAGGAAGATTTTAGCTGGAAAAAAAAATTCATGGCAGGATTTTTTAAAGGCATTTCAAGAGGTCATCCTTAGTGGGAACTGGAGGTCTACCTCCCCTGAGGCATGTTTAAAAATCCCACACTAAACTGCGAGTTTGTACACTCAGTCCACCTTCTGAGTCAATTCAGTCACAAAAATCTCTTCTCTTGGTCAGACAGCTAGCACTCATTGAATGAATGCTTGCCTGTTCAGAGTTATAATATGTGAATGCACGAAAAAGAGCATGTTGCCCCTGGAATCACCACTTTTCACCTGGAACTAAATTCAGACAGGACTTCATACAGATTTTTACTGCTCTTGTTCTTATACCCGCAATAAAAGCCAATCATAGTTAGGAACTATATAATCTGCTCAGGAGGAAAATGCTAGGAGGAACATGTACCTCCATGAGTATCATGCTTCTCTGTGTGTGGTCTGGAGGAATGTCAGCCTGCACTGCTTATCCGCACAATCCTGTTCCATGTCTGTTATCCCCATACTTTGGATATATTTCCAGTTTGTGTAATTTCTGATAATCTACCAGAAAGAGAATGAGGTATATTTGGGTAATTCATATCTTCTTCCATTGCTTAATACATTGCTTAATATTGCTTAATACAGCTTAAATGGCTGTTTAAATAGGTAGAAATAGAGGTGGACAAGGTGATAAAAAAACCACTATGGTGTTCGGAATGAAAAACTACCTGGTGATATCAGAACAGCAGATGAAAACAAGGCAATTTCCTCCTCAGTCAGCTGTAAGGAACATAAATTCTTCGCAAAGTCAAATGCTTCATTCACCAGATCATCAGAACCTGCAGACCACAGAGAACAAAATCAGTGCTAGAAATCTATTAGCTCTTTAACCTGACATGAAAAGTACATTGGTTTGGTATCAAAAAAATTTGTGAGCAAATGTCTGTACTTCTGAAACAACTGCCTTTCATCAGCTATTACAATTCTACCTAACCTTAAAATTTATCACTAAAACACCCACTGAATCACAAAAAATATCAAGAATTAGGGGCATGACCTATACAAAAATTGCACCTTAGAAGAGTGTTTTCTATTCCCAATGTGGAAAGAAATGCTATTTCTAAACAGATACTAAACAAAAAAGAGGTGAATGACCAGTCCTAAATAACTTTCACATACATAAGTTTATTAATTGTACAAATAGTCATGAAAATTTATGAAAACATCATAAAGACCAAAATAAATTAACTAATGCATATTCAGAAAATGTTTTAAGCTTGTAAAGTAGTGTTACATTTGTCCATATGCAAATAAGAATCTATATAATAAGTATATACATATTTGAAGCAAATCTCTGAGTTTGGTCCTGGTAACGCATCAGTCTCATGAATGGGCAAAAGACATCCATTTAGCTATTAACATTTCAGGTAGCACTTAATATCATGTTGAGAAATGATGCAGTTGTTTCAATACATGAATTTAAATGAGCTTAAAAGTTTTAGGCAAACCAGTATTTTAGTTAAGTCCTTGTCTATGTTTTGTAGTAGTTCATCAGTTTAGTCCCCTTGTTGCTGGTGCTAAAATTACCTCTGCAGGATGCAATTAGTGGGAGTGATTTGATATACCAAGCATAACTGAACTATGATGATAAACTTCTTGGCTCTTGTCATAAACTAATGTTTTATTAAAATTTCAAGTGGCAGAGTAAGAAGCCTACCTGAAAAACCCTCATGCTACTCTTTTTTATCAGAGAAAAACACCTATCACTGCTAGCAACTAATGGGGTTATCTTTCTTTTCTTTTTTCAATTCCAGAGGTTTTAAGTTTGGGATTCAACATTTACTGGAGATTGTCACTGTGGGTCACTGTTTTCAGAAAGACAAATCTGTCACTTTGTGGCTTAATTTAATTGGTTGAAAAGAAGAAAACCAACGTACCCAAGGCTTTAAACATTTGCATCCCTCCATACTTCCCTTCAAACAGAACAGTATTGTTGAGTGGGTTGAAGGCACGGCACATTCTCACCAAAACCACTTCCAAGCAGCCTATCAGACATGAGAAAGAGCAAAAGTACCACACATTACTGCAAACCATCAGAATATATGAAAATATATGAATTTTAATGAAAATATTTAAGGATACATCAGTTATTAGAAACATCAGCAGGGATCAACACTCTTTGAAGGCATCTAGATGGTATCTCTCTGTATGAGAGAAAAAATATTTCTGCCTGCTTTAGATATAGAAAGAGGTAATTTCTGGTCCAACCTAACCACCCTTTCTTTAGATTGATCCCCCCCCCCATTGCAGCAAGTCGGCAGCCTAGGCTTTATCTGAATTTAGGCCTGGACAAATATTTTCGATTTGAAATATTGTATGCTAAAAATCAGCATTTATTAAGACTCTTTTAAAGTAATATGAGTTATTTTTAGGCTTTTTAATGCATACAAAAAAGCAGGTTCGTTCAATGTATACATAAATCCCAGCTTCATTTGGCTGGAGGTGAAGATTATCACAAAGTGTTTTTAGAGAGAAAACAGAAGTTAAAGTAACGTGAAGAACACTCCTAAATTGAGGTTTACTTTCATTTCTCTTTTTTTGCTTTAAGGTTGGGGAATAGCCAAAAGATCTCCCCCCCCTTCCTTTTTTTTTTTTTTTTTTTTAATTTCTCTCATTATATTTCCATATTATTTCCTAACTGCAAAAATACACATACACAGTTTGGGAAAATAAAGGGAAAAAATTTAAACACCCCTTAACTAAATCCAAATCTCCTGCAAGATGAACTCTGAATCTGAGGATTATTTTGCAGACATGCTTTTGAGTGAAAAGTTCTGATTTTTTAACTCCTGCTCAGCATTAACAGCAAAACAGAAAATAAAACCTGACATACTTATACATGCTGAAGCTAAACCGAGTTGTTGGACAGTACAGTCAAATATAACTAAATATTTCACTGAAGGTGTGTTGTTAGCTTTGCCAGCCAAATGAAGGAAGTAAATTGGGCGTCACTGGCAACTGCAGAAGCAGTAGAAGCTTTAAAAAAATTGATCTCATGATACAACTCTTTTTCCAGGATGTTGCCTGTGTGTTCCCAGGGTCTCTGTATCCCTTCCCTTTGCACCTGTGCTTGCTGCCTCAGTCCAGCCCCACACTGAACCACAGCCCTCTGTGTACAGAGCACTGAATCACACTGGCTTTCAGCCCTAAAGAAGAATTCTCTCTTGAAATAGGAAGCACTTATGCTTTAACGAGCTGCCTCAAACAGCATCCTGCATTTTACACATGGAGGGTGCAAGAAACTGATATGACAGGGTAAATGCAGTTAATTACCAGTTGCAGTTCATTTGGTCATACCCATTTGTCCTCTTGAGTTTGGCAGTGTTACTACATAGTCATGATAAATCTTGTCATGATTCTTCCAGAGGACAGAATCCAAGTCCCATGACAGGGAAGGAAATCCATTTCCCCCCTTGCCCTTATGCACACACGTGCACACCCAGGCATGCACAGAGAGCACAGCCGGAGCACAGTGCTGTAATCCACTCTCATTTATTCTGAAACCAACTGGTACCAGCAGGGATTTTCCCTCCTGTGCACTAGCTGAAGGGTATTTCTGTAGTCTCATTAAAAAGATTAGAGATGACCACAGAGGCAGGCCCCAGTGAGCCTGTGTTCATTTCACTAATGACAAGTGGGGATTTTACAGGGTGGCAGATGACTGATTTGACCAGCTCAATTCGCAGGGTTCTTCCACCACATGTCAGGTTGGAGACTGAAGTTTCTGCAATGACTGTATGCATGCGCATACTTAATAACCAAACCTACTGTAAAGGAAGGTAGTAACATGATTAATGTGGAAAAATACAGAAGGGCTAATGCAGCTAATTAAACAGACTGAAATTAGGACTCCTTCAAAATTAAAATGATTTCCAGAACAAGTAAGAAGAGCACATTTGTAATGTGCTGGATGCCAAAGTAGTCTTGAGCCTCTGGTGTTTACCCACCTGATTTAAGGAGAAGAATTTGGTCATTCTGGCAGAGCTCCATGAAGCCTGTTATGCGCTTTGCAAACTCCACCACGTACTGGATAGCATGGGTGATCTGAATGGCACACTGCTGCCACAGAGCTTCTCTGGTCTTCCGGGAAAACATACACAGAAAAGCAAAGCAGTGAGCAAGTGGGTTCATCAGTGCATTAAGTTCTTCAGGTGGCCTTGCAGAAAGGCACAGACCTCAGACTCCGACCCCATCTCCAGGCAGAGCTAGCAGCATCTCTGCTTCTCAAGGCACCTGACACTTTTCACTAGAAGGCTGTTTTCACAAGCTGATTGCCCCAATGGTCTGAACTCTGGCACTGCCTCTTCAAAGGGGAAGAATGAATTGTCCAATGCTAAAATGTGATTTTAATGTTGGCTTTTGTGCAAGATCAACAAACAGTAGCACAAACAATATAAACATCCCAGAGTACTCTTAGGGAAGAACTGGCACAGTGCTACTAAGCTATCTGACAAAATATTTTTGCTAGTTTGAAACTTAAAGTAATATTAAAGTATCATTGCAATTTGAACACTGATTGCATCAAAATTCTTTTTCCTTGATAATAATTTTCCTTGCATGCACAAGTGCACAAACGTAAATTGATGCTCTTGATCTCTTCAAGCTGTGCTGTGTCTTTATTCTAGTATGCTAGATGCACAGTATGCATAGCCCCTTAGCTTTCAAGTATCAAGCTGGACTCTCTTCTTTCTCTCGTGTGATCACCTAATGTGCCAACTGAAATCTGACTGAAGAATCATTGCTAGTGATGCTGGTGCAAGAGGCACAAAGATTTCTGTTAACTTGACTACACCTCAAGAGATGCCAATGGAAAATAGTCAAAACTTGACCTGAGAATTGCAGAGGCACAACAAAAATGTAGTGTAATGAGATAATTTTTCCGCCCAGTTTTGAACAACTTCAATTTAAGGAGTACTTTCAGTTTGTCATTTTCTGTTGTCTGTAAATGATAGGTATTTGTTATTCACATAAAAAGGGGATGGGGGTTTAAAATTTATAATGAAACAAAATTAGGTTGTCTTTTTTCTTAATAACCTTACAACAGAGGATCCAATCCTGATCATATTAAAGTCACTGATTTTCTGCATGAATTTTAGACCTGTAACAAGAAGCAAAGTGTGGAAAGCTGGATTCCACAACCAGGCCCAACCTTTGACATTAACAAACATCCCAACATGCTGGAAAGCTGCTGCTTTTTACGAAGTGTCACTCCTTTGCTTTCTGTAACCTCCCCTCAAAGATATTTAAAAGCCTATTTTTATCTGTAGGAACTCATCAGTATATCCTTGCCAAATACATTACTACATCTTAACAATTTCAAACCATAATGTGCAGAAGAAAAAGCATATTACAGGATTGTACCTTGCTCTGGTAAACCTTGATTTCTTCATATGTGTGGGTCTGCCAGGCTAGCTGGTGCAGTTCCTCCATTGTATATTGACATGTCTCCAAATGAGATTTGATGATATTCTGTGCAATTCGATCTGTGAAGAGGTGAATAAAAAACCAGCTTGCATGAAACAGTGAACAGTGATCTGCAATAGCAAAATTCTAGAAACATTAAAGTTGCTGGAAAATGCAGATTAAAAAAACCCCAATCTTTTCTTTGCAGTGCTACCTTTGTCGTTTTTTTAAGATCTAATTTTCTGAAGATGACTATTACAAAATATTTCAGTATTCAACCGAAAGGCAAATAATACTTGATAAATAGTGCATCTGCAAAGGAAAGTAACAACAAATCTTGTAAAACTATTCACAATCTTTCATTCCAGAAGTGATTTCCCCCCCTTCCCCCCCCGTGTTTAAATGATCTTCATTTGGAGACCCTGGTTACTTCATCATTTCTGTCTGCCCCAAGCCTGTGCAGGTGTCCAGCTCTGACAGCTTAATCCTTGCATGGGCATTTGCATTACCTTGGGATGACTCATATCAGAGAAACAGGAAACAGGTCTCCTCTTTTTTCTCAAATTAGTTTTCAGCTGATTTAGTTTTCAGTTTCTGATGTAGTTTGAACACGAATATGGAGATTGGTGCTAGCAAGGGGTGAAAACTAGTGTCCTGGGTTTTCACAGAATCACAGAATCATAGAACGGCTTTGTTTGAAAGGGATCTTAAGGATTGTCTAGTTCCACCCCCACTGCATGGGTAGGGATCTCTTCCAGTAGATCACGTTGCTCAAAGCCCCATCCAAGCTGGCCTTGAAGGAGAGATGGAGGGAATAGATTTCACATACAGGATTAAGTTATTATTAAAGTTATTCTGAAATTCCAGCCTTAGAAACTACTGCCTAATATGGAATGCAGGATGCAAGGAGGAGGGGAAACATTCAGTGCTGGCCTGAGATCCCACTGAAATGAAAAGCAAAACTCTTGGGGAAGTATTTTAAAGTAGAACTTTGACCTTTAAGCCACTTGAGTGGATTAAAAAGATTTTCACAAAAAATTCCAGCAAGCATTCATTAGCACTGGAAGTTGAAATGTTTTGATAAAACAAGCTATAGAAATGTGACAATTTCTTATTTTTCAGCTTAGAGACCTATATGTTTAATGAAGCTCAGTGCTCCAGCCTGAAGACATTGCTTAAGATGAACCCTTTTTAAAAAATGGAACAAAGTAGAAGCCACAGAACTGAACTGAAGCCCTTGTGGCAGAACAGGCATTTCACAGAAAATGTGTTTGTTAAAAAACGGAGGGACATTGACAATGCATTAGCCAAACCTGAGCATGGGAAGTAGAAAGAACTAAGAATGTCATCATTTACTCATTCACATCCTCATGATTAACAGTAGGTGGATCTGGTGCTTGGAGTCCCAAAATAACTGTTTCTTTGGCCAAATGTTGACTGAATTCTAAAACACTAGCAAGAAGGAAAGCTGAAAAATGAACATAAACATGTGTATGCTCCCTGAAATCACTGCTATAGGAGTGTTATTTAAAGGAGAGATGTCTGCGCTACTGTCACAGCTAATAAGCTGACACTCAATGGAAGGGTGCTGAAGAAAACACAAAAGAGTTCCAGGTTTTTGTAGGAACAATAAAACCTGCTCAATTCAATCTTTACAGGTACCCCTTTAAAGGTCAACACTGTCTTTAGGTTTCCTGATGAGAAAATTGACTCAAGCATAAAAGAAGTAAAAGCATATGCTCGTAAGTACAGGGATCTATCCATTGCTCTTTTAGGGAATGTTGGATGCAAGTCTTAACTCATGATGGTAGGCTGTTGCATTTTACAATAAAACCATATAAATGAGCATGCTGGAATAAATGGATGATGTATTTAAACAGATATTTTTTAAAGTATTGACAAAGATGTATTTTCATTTCTTTAAGACAAGCATATAACACCCATCTTTTTTAGGAAGACTGAATTTCAGATGTTAAGCCCCCTACTGTTCTATTTAAAGTACAGTTTTAACAATATCATCTTTCTGGAAACATCCTTAGACACAGTAAACCTGATCGCACAAGTTAAGCTCAAGCTATAGGTTTTGCCACTTGCATTCCTGGAAGGCTTTAACCAGACAGAACTGAGGTATGGGTATAGGAACACTTAGGCCTTGTATCTAAAACACAGTGAAAGAAGTACGAGTTCAACTTGTATTACAATTCTGCAGCCTGAATGGTGAAGGGTTTTCTTCTCTGAACCCACTGGATGGTCTTTTTCTCTCTAGTGCTTCCTAGCCCAGGTCTCCTAGCCATACCATTTGTTACAGAAGCTGGAACTATTCAAAATCTTGACATGAAGAAATACCTCAAATACTTAAATATTACTGCATAGGCAGATTTTGAATCAGATAAGGTGACCTGATGCTAACAATCTGAAAATAAAACCATTTCACTGTCCTGAAAATACACTTCATTAGCAGCTCTACCTTACTGCAAAGATCCTCAGCTCCACTCCTTTTCCTACAAAGAACTGACAAACTCTTGAGGGTTTTGTAGGGATGGCATCCTGTGTTTTACCCCATATATCTTTTCCTTCTGTACTTGTGCTTTTGTTGAGCTGATACTACAACCCATTTAGATGTGTGAAGGCTTAGGGCAATCACAGCAAGCAGCAGCTCTGAATGCTTACATCCAAAGAGGAATCAGGTGCAACACAGACTTGAAACTCTTGCGCCGCAGGCTAGGCAAGGCTGAGTGTATGATGGAAAGGGTACACTGGGTCTCAGGGGAGGAGCAGACTGCTCATTCAGCACAAGCAGCGGAGAAGGCTGCTTGCTTACACTCAACAGTGGAGTCACTGGAAGGAGTTTTATGCAAATGTACTGTACACTGAGTATGCAGAGCTGACATGATGCAAAAATTAACAAAGTATAAGCTTGTCTGGTCTTCTCAGATGGTCCAGCAACAGAAGATCCAGTGCAGGCAGAGGAAAGAACATCACTCTCGTAGGGTTTCAAAGACCACAGCTGTTTTTTCTGTAATTTTCAATTTTTTTTCACTTTTGCATCTTCTCACTAATGAAGTTGGAATCAGCACAGATCTCAGAAATCCCATGCAGAAAGAGGTTCCTAGATCACTGGGAAGAATGTACTGATGTCTAATGTAAACTGTCCTGTCACATGGCACAGGTACTGTGCTGTATAAAAACATGATACATTTCTATGAGACCTGGCAGCTCTGAAGCACTGCTGGCAAGTGAGTTCAACAGATTAATTCTTTTAGTAGAATGAGATAGAAAGTGTCAATGAGGAAAACCGCAGCTTCTTACAGTGAGACGGAGAGCTATTGCCTTGCTGCAGAGGCTACAGCCTTAATCCTATGGAGATACTCTGCTGGGTTAATGCTCAACAGCAATGTCCTTCCCATTCTCCAGGCTGGAAGAGTTCACCACAGTTACTCCAAGCATCAAATCTTGATTGTTGTTTATTTCGTTTTCAAAAATCTTGGGCCAGAGATTTCAAGGATCCCCTTACACTGGAAGCTGCACAGACACAACTAGGAATCCTTTTTGGATGTGCTGTGAGGACTATAAAAGACAACTCCACTTTTGTCGCCTCAATATGAACTGCATTTCTGCTTGAAATGTTGTCAGTTTCCATTTTGTGTAATTTACAGCAGGTTTGCAAGGCTTGCTTTATGAAAAGGAAAACAAAAGAGATGATGTTGGCCACTCAGGTGAGAATCAAAGTCTGCAACACATTCTTTTACAAGCACCAACTGCTGCATCTGCTGAGTGCAAATGAATGATTCCAACCAAAAGAATTACTGAGCCTGCATGATAGTACACCAGCAGCATTATAATTACAGATGTAAACTGGAGGATTTGTAAAGCTCATCTGCTGTGGTATGTAAACACAAATGTAGATCTAGGTGTTTCACTCCTCCTGTCTACATCCTGTATTTATTGTATTAGGGCAGTATCTCCTAACATGCATCATGATCGCTTCATACTACACGATACCAAGCAGAACCTGGAAGCCACAGCATATCCTGGAAGATTGACTCTACCCTGGAAATATGGTCCACAGACAATAACATGTTCCCAGGGTCTGAACTCCAGTATGCACTGTGACATGGAAACATTTACATGAGATAGCTTGCTCCTAAGTTTGAAGATTTCTTAGTATTGGTACCTTGAAAATTTTCATAGAAAAGCAGGCACTTTTTGTACAAATGCTATGTTTCATTAGAAAAATGTCTTTCTATAAAAAACTATTTGTTTCCAAAGAGATAAACCAGAAACAACATACTCAAGGAAACAGTCAATAGTTATAACCAATATGGGGTCTTGAAAAATCAGAAATACTCAAAAAAGGCATATCCTGGAATGACCACTTATAGTTCATTTCTGTCCTGCATATATCTGACTGGTTTTCTGTAACTGGTCAGTATTCTAGTTGTAAAGTCTTGTCCATTCTTAGGCGTGACAAGGAAACCTAGATATTGTTAGTTGGCATGACCGGAGAGCAGAAAGCTGAGAGGTCGGGCTGGCCTCCGTACCCTACAGCTGGTGGCAACGCTGCCCTTCCTGTCACAGCAGCTGAGGTACTGCTGGTAGGGCTCCAGAAAGTGCCAGCTAGATGGGGAGATAAATTAATTGGGATTTCGCAATGCAGCAGCGTAAAAAAAAATAAAAATCAAATGCATAGAAGATGTCCAGAACTAGCTGAAAATTATGTATGAGGAAGCTGAAGGATTATCTGTCAAAAAGGTTTGTTCCCATTAAGAGAAAAAATTGTGGATTGCTTGAAAGAAATACTGTGTGCATGTATGTAATCTTGTGGTCTGGGACATGCAGCTTGTCAGACAAGATTGCCTTAATGCCTACAACTAGATGTAGCAAAAAAAAAAAAGTAAGAATTACGGTGGGTGAAATAAAAGCTGTACAACATGAAAGGGAGCATGGTAGCAGGATAAATACAAGATCTACAACATGTGCTCCTGGGCTCGTGACTGTGGTTACAAACATGGCTGTTGAGGCCAATATCTGAAAGAGGCCACATGCAAATATTGATGGGAACTGTCCTGAAGCATAACTA